ATATGGGCTTCGTAGAATCGCTGACTCATTATTGACTCATTTGCTAACTCAATTGGATATTGTTGACTCAACCTAGTCCAATTTAATATACACATAAGGATAAATACTATTATTATTTTTTTGAAATTTATCACCATTACTATTTTCACAAATTATCATTGATATATCTTAACGGTTACAAAAAAATTAAATAAAAATCATTATCATTAAATCAATATTACTAACCATCAATAACAAACAATATCAAAGTTATAACACCACTTTATGTTAAACCCAATATATCTAACATCATAAAATATACGTAAGGGTATACATTATTAATTTTCATTTTATTATTTCTATTTTATTTTATTAATTTAATTATTACTATCTTTTATTATTATATTATATTATTATAAATTTGGGATTTTACATAACTTGAATTCGAAATTCAAGCATCATGGATCATATCCATGATATAAAAAAATCGCCTATCTCATCCAATCCCTTTATTGTTGCCTCAACAATGTTATACAAATAACAAAGTTGTTGAAAGAATGTCTCTAACCAATCTTTATCAGATGTAGATTTGGATAATTCAAAATTATCATTAACAACTTAACCTCTTGAATTCAAAATTCAAATTCAAATTCAAGCTTGTCTTCGTTCGTAGTTTAAATTTGAATTCAAATTCAAAATTCAAAATTTCAAATTTCAAATAAAAATTTTGAATTGGCCCAAAACTTATTTTGGCCAAGTCAACTATTTGACTTTCTAGGACTCATGGCCTAAAACCCTATTAGGCCTACTAAGACATTTGGACCTATTAGTGGAGAAACTAATTTCTCACTAAAAGTCAAAGTGGGCGCATGAAACAATTGGAATTGGAGTCCAACTCCAACTCCAACCAATTACACATATAGTCTTGAAAAAGTCCAATAACAATTATTGGCCTAAACTTGCTAGGTATAACCAATCAAGAAAAACCTTAGTGTGTGACCCATTAGGCCCAATTAGTCACTGATATAAATAAACTTAGATCAATTAAACTCCTTTAACAGGCTCAATTTATCTAATGACCATATAAGACACTACCAATGTTTTGCGGCCCTAGAACTAGTCGAGTTAATCAAGTGATCTATCTTTCTAATTTGGATACCGTGCTGACTTCATCCCTCATATCGTTGTTCACATTTAGTCAATAGCAAGGATAAAGTATCATATATCTTGATTGACTAAAATGTAGCTTTTCACAGAACTAGGAATCTTATTCTATTGACTCTAAGACAGATTATGACTCCTCATGATCTCTTACTATGCATAGATTCTCAAGTCAACTAGAAGTCATCCAAGCTCTACTGGTTATTGTGAACGACTAATCCCTTGTAAGGGATTATGAGTTCTTTCGACATATCCATCTATACTAATGTATTCAAGACATCATACCTAATAGCAATGTTATTAAAACCGGTCCGGTTAATGACCCGGTCGAGGTACTGGGTCACTGGTTCAAATAGTGGGTCACTGATTGAACCGCATGACCCGATAATTGTATATAAATCTATAATTTATATTAAAAAAATTATAAATATACTCAAATAGCTGAAAAAATAATATAAATTCTAAATATTTTAATATAAAAAATAATAAATTATACATTATTGTCCAATAAAGGATCAAACAAACACATAATGCTTGTTATATTGGTGTTTCAGGTTCAATAAACGACATCTCTAACTATCAAATCAAAATTCCATGTATAGTGCATAATTAAGATAATATTAAGATTGTAGGTACATAACTTTTGTAAGTCAATAAGTAACAGATCACCCAAATATGTCAATTATGATTTTTTTTTTGGAAAACTTTTTTTTTTTGAAAATATTTTTTTAAAAAAACCTAGGCTGGGTCACCGGTTTTTCACCAAAACCAGTCGGGTCGCATCGGGTTTGATATTTAACCGATCTAATGTGATAATCAGACCGGTCAGATGACCGGTTCACCGTGTTCCGGGTCGACCCGGCCGGTCCGGTCCGGTCCGATTTTCACAACAATGCCTAAGAGTACACTTTTCTCCCCACTTTTTAGGCAGATAGAGTTGTACAGTCAAAATATAACCCTAAGACATAGTGTTCGATGACATCCTCTGTTAGAAATTTTCCTTTATGTGGGCAATATTAATTAATTAGTTTTCTGTTTAAAAATTAATCGGGTTAATGGATATTCCAATTGTATTATTTTGATAAGCCTGTTGTGATCATGTTGAGTTGGGCTTTTAGCATTTGTTGGTATTGGACCTAGTTGGGCAGCAGTGTAGGCTTTAGTGTGACCCTGGTTTTCCGTGATGGGTGGACCTAGTGGACATAACCTCTTTTTAGGGTATTTGGCTAGGTCCCCTTTCTAACCTATTTATATTGGGATTAAGTCCCATGAGCCGTCATGCTCCCATCGCTGAGGCTGCCACTTTTGGAATAGGTCATAGAGAGGAAGACTCTAGCCGTGAGATCAAGGTTCTTCGCTCAGTAGATAAGATGGTCCAATTAGGTACACAAATTTCTCTCTGAATAAAAATTGATATATGGTGTTTTATCTATAATACATGTATCGATCTTCATGTTAAATTATTATATAAAAAATTCTTACATACTCAAGTCTAGGATGATCTGCACTACCAAACGATGAGTGACTTTACAAATCCAATAATACTCTCTACATTGAATCCTTGTGGAGTCACTAGGCGGGTTCTGTTCAGTGCCATATGTTCTCTAACAAATCCACCCACGACATCAGCTAAGGCATCACCATGCCTGCATTTCATGAGGTCCCTACCTTGTATCTCCATACAAGTAGATGATGTCGTACTAGTCTTGTTGAGATCACCAATGCCCTATCTAGGTGATTCAAGACTAGGAACAAATTTAAGGCAATAGACATGTAGTGTCCTCATGATCATGATCGTTATCATAGATCTTTGAGTGAACACCTTTTCTATTCTTAGGACCTTTATGTTCAGCAACCCATTTTAACTATACATTCTCGGGAATACATAGTTATAATATTATAGTTGTTTTTTTTCTCTCCTCAGTCGCTTTTCAGAACCTGTCGGCTGACGTGGATAAAGAAAAAAAAATCAACTTTAACATTATAACTATGTAATCCCGAAATACATAGTTATAACGTTAAAGTTGCTTTTTTCCGTCTCTCTTCAGTTACTTTTCAAAACTTGCATGCTGACGTGGAGAGAGAGAGAAAAAGCAATTTTAACATTATAATTATGTACTACTCGTAATACATAGTTAAAAAGAGTAGCTTAAAATAAGTTTATCTCAAGTGACTGGAGATATATATATATATATATATATATATATATATATATATATATAATAACTTTATCTCTTGCACACAGATATAAATAGATGAACCCCACTTTTCCCCTTTTTTTTCCCTTTCTTTTCATACTACTTGCATCTATGTGAAAGAAATAAGTTTATCTCAAGTGACTGGATATACATATATATATATATATATATATATATATATATATAATAACTTTATCTCTTGCACACAAATATAAATAGATGAACCCCACTTTTCCCCTTTTTTTTCCCTTTCTTTTCATACTACTTGCATCTATGTGAAAGAAATAAGTTTATCTCAAGTGACTGGAGATATATATATATATATATATATATATATATATATATATATATATATATATAGTCAGGATCATTTTACACCAGTGTAAGTTACACTCACAATCTTATCCGTTGATTCTATTTAAATCTAACGACTAAATTTTTTTAGTAATGTGAGCCATTGGATACAAGTGGATCAATGGTCAAGATTGAGTGTAAGACTTCTAACTCTTTCACCGATGTAAGAATATTCTGCCTCATATATATATATATATATATATGAGTCAGGATCATTTTACACCAGTGTAAGTTACACTCACAATCTTATCCGTTGATTCTATTTAAATCTAACGGCTAAATTTTTTTAGTAATGTGAGCCATTGGATACAAGTGGATCAATGGTCAAGATTGAGTGTAAGACTTCTAATTCTTTCACCGGTATATATATATATATATATATATATATATATATATATATATATATAACTTTATCTCTTGCATGAACCCCACTATTCCCCTCTCTTTTTTCCCTTTCTTTTCATACTACTTGCATCTATGTGAAAGAAATAAAGGCATCTCCTGCTTTAAAAAAACATTAACCTCATATATAAATCCAAATTTAGAATAACATATATAAGGAACCTAAACTCTTTCCATTACCAGTAATATATGTTGGAGATTAATAGCTTATTAGATTTTTTTTTCCTCTTTGAACTCTAGGTTAGGAAACGTTATTTTATGGGTTATTTTATCTCTGTAACTTAGTTATTGTAATGGGTGGTTACTAATTTGAATTTATATTCTGTCTATTTAAATTTTTATTATGTGAAATAAAAAATATCAAAGAATTAGATTTTGCACTTTTGAATTTGAGACAAAGCTTGCATAACAGAGCTCAACTTCTTTTTGACCAAAATATGGGTCCTAGTTATGTATTTATCAGCTTGGTATTAAAACCCAACCAAAAAAAATTAAAAGATTCAGTTGAGGCATTATCCATTAATTGTAGATGTTCACCAAAACTTTTATGAGAATTAATTTCCTTATTTTACATAAGAAATTTTTTTTATGCTATGTTTACAATATATGAGTGGGATCCACAAAAAGTGAAAAGACAAAAAAAATTAAGATGAAATCTAACTATATACTGTGAGTGTAGCATGAATTTTTTTTCTCAACTCTTATAGCCTAAATTATAAAAGCGTTGACAGTTTGTCAAATAATTTTACGATAAAGAATGAATCGCAAGGGAAACTAAACTTACATTACAGCGCTAAGAAATTCAAGAGTTCTGTTACCCTAAGCCCAATTGCTCTCTTCACTTGATAACTAAAATACTAAACCCCAAAACTACCAAAAAAATAAAAATAAAAATAAACTAAATCCCACCGCAGCTGTCGCCGCCACCCGCCATTTGCTTTGTACGGTGGACTTGGAGTTCTTTAACGAATCAGTCGAAACACTGCACTCCTCTTCCATCTCAGGTTACTCTCTCTCTCTCTCTCTCTCTCATATAGACACACAAAAGGCACTGTTTAATTTTTAGTATATGTACATTTGGATATTTGCAATGGCAGAACATGGTTAATGTTGAGCTCTGAGTCAAACCATTTAAATTATTATTGTTATTATTTCTTATAAATACAAAAACATCAACCTGTGTTATTGATTTAGGATAGGATTGGATAAACTTTATAAAAAAGTGTTTTTATGATTTAACTTTTTCTTTTACTTGATTTTGCATTTTTTTAATTTTATCCAATTATATATATATATATATATACGAGGCCTTAATTTTCTTAACATGATTGGTTATATATATAGTCTGTATGTTAAAATGTGGATTGCACCTTTGATAGTTGGCTCTTTGGTTTGATTGTCCAGATTGAAATCAATACTTTCATCCAACCAACCAGCCATACAATTGAATAGTGTGAACTCTCTATAAACTTTTTCAATTTGTTTGTTGTGCTTAAACATGATTCTTTCTATTAATTGATTAGTTTTCCTTACTTATAAGTTGTGTTCTGTCCTCTGTAGTTATCTTGTTGGTGACTTTTTTTTATTGCCTGATAGTTAGTCTTGCAGGATCTATCTAAGCTTTTGTACTGTCATACCAATGTTCTATGCTTTCTCTTCTCAAATTGGTGTCAATCTGCAAACTTGAGCTTGTTTCTAAGGTTTTGCCATCTCATCGATGGGTTTACCGATCTTTTTCGGCAACTACAAGTTCTCTGCAACTGATATCACGTGAGTTTGAGAACAAGAGAAAAGTAGCTGATTTTGATGTTCTATTCCATTCCTGCACAAAGGTTGATGTTGCTAAGCGGCTTCATGCTCTTCTTATGGTGTTGGGGAAAGCTCAAAATGTTCTTCTATCTACCAAGCTTGTTAATTTGTATGCTACTCTTGGGGATGTCTCGTTGTCTCGCGATACTTTTAATCAGATTAAGAGAAAGAATATCTATGCGTGGAACTCAATGTTAGCAGCATATGTTCGCTGTGGCCGATACTGTGAAGCTATGACTTGTGTCAATGAATTGTTGTCCATATCTGGTCCACGACCTGACTTTTATACTTTCCCACCTGTGTTGAAAGCTTGTGCACATCTAGTTGATGGGAAGAAATTACATTGCTTGGTTTTGAAGATGGGTTTTGAGCATGATGTATTTGTGGCTGCTTCCTTGATCCATTTATATTCACGGTTTGGTGCTTTAGATGTTGCCTACAAGTTGTTTGTCGATATGCCGGTTCGAGATGTGGGTTCTTGGAATGCAATGATTTCAGGGTTTTGTCAGAATGGAAATGCAGTAGAGGCATTATATGTCTTGAATAGTATGAAAGTTGAGGGGGTAAAAATGGATACAGTTACTGTGTCAAGTATACTACCCATTTGTGCACTGTCAAACAATATCCTTAGTGGGGTATTGATTCATTTGTATGTGATAAAGCATGGGTTGGTAGCTGATGTGTTTGTTTCCAATGCTTTGATCAATATGTATTCAAAGTTTGGTAGGCTGCAGGATGCACATAGGGTTTTTGATCACATGAAAGTGAGAGATCTGGTATCTTGGAATTCTATAATTGCTGCATATGAGCAGAATGATGATCCTACTACTGCACTTGAATTCTTTAAAAGGATGCAATTTGTTGGAATACGACCTGACTTGTTAACAGTTGTGAGTTTGGCCTCAATTTTTGGCCAATTAAGTCATCAAGGGTTTAGCAGGTCTGTTCATGGATTTGTTATGAGACGCGAATGGCTTGAGGAGGATGTTGTGATTGGTAATGCACTTGTGAATATGTATGCAAAATTGGGTGCTATGGATTGTGCACTTACAGTTTTTGAACATCTTCCTATCAAAGACATAATTTCGTGGAACACTTTGATCACAGGGTATGCTCAAAATGGTCTTGCAAGTGAGGCAATTGATGCTTACAACATGATGGAAGAGAGTAGAAAAATAAGCCCAAACCAAGGGACTTGGGTGAGCATTCTACCAGCATATTCCCATGTTGGAGCTTTGCAACAAGGAATGAAAATTCATGGGAGGCTAATCAAGAACTGTCTCTACTTGGATGTCTTTGTGGCTACCTGCCTGATTGACATGTATGGAAAATGTGGGAGGTTAGAGGATGCGATGTCCTTATTCTATGAAATTCCACGAGAAACTTCAGTTCCTTGGAATGCCATAATATCTTCTCTCGGGATTCATGGGCATGGAGAAGAAGCTGTACAACTTTTCAAGGATATGCTAGCTGAAGGGGTAAAGGCAGATCATATTACCTTTGTCTCTTTGTTGTCAGCCTGTAGCCATTCAGGTTTAGTCGACGAGGGTCAATGGTGCTTTGATATGATGCAGAAAGAGTATGAGATCAAGCCTAGTTTGAAGCATTATGGCTGCATGGTGGATTTGCTTGGCAGAGCTGGGTATTTGGAAAAGGCATATAATTTAGTGAGCAATATGCCTTTAAAGGCTGATGCATCCATCTGGGGTGCTCTTCTTGGTGCTTGTAGAATACATGGAAATGCAGAATTGGGTGCATTTGCTTCAAATCGCTTGTTGGAAGTTGATTCAGAGAATGTTGGCTATTATGTTTTGTTATCAAATATCTATGCAAATGTTGGAAAATGGGAAGGAGTAGTTAAAGTAAGATCATTGGCCAGAGATAGAGGATTAAGGAAGACTCCTGGATGGAGCTCTGTTGTAGTGGGAAGTATAGTTGAAGTCTTTTATACTGGGAACCAAACCCATCCACAATGTACAGAGATATACGAGGAACTAAGGGCTTTGACTGCCAAAATGAAGAGCCTTGGTTATGTTCCAGACTATAGTTTTGTCTTACAAGATGTTGAGGAGGATGAGAAAGAGCAGATTTTGACAAGTCATAGTGAGAGACTGGCCATTGCATTTGGAATTATCAGCACTCCACCAAAAAGTTCCATTAGGATATTTAAAAACTTGCGTGTTTGTGGTGATTGCCACAATGCAACTAAGTACATATCCAAAATTACTGAGAGGGACATTGTTGTGAGGGATTCAAATCGTTTCCATCATTTTAAAGGTGGGATTTGCTCATGTGGTGATTACTGGTGATGATCACTAATTCATGGGAACTGGAAAAGATTGGCCATAACTGAAGACCTTAATTACTGAGATTTGTCAAACCAGGCATTGTTTTGTCATTGTAGCGCAACTGCTAATCAGTAAGATAAATTTTATCTGCCAACCATATTCTTCAATTGAGCTTTAAGAATATGTTTTTTTGAGATTAAAAAGGAGAAAAATTGGAGCTGTAGTTCTGCCTAATTTTCCAAGATGTTGGGTAAATTCCTTCAAAATCATAATGATTTTGGGAAGTGATTGATTGTGTCAAAACAATCTAATAAACGAGAAACCTTGATACCATGGACTAGGTCTGATTATTAAATAATATATAAATATATCATACTAAAGTGCACAGCTGGGTTATTACCAAAAAAAAAAAGTGCACAGCTGGGTTCTTGCAAGGCATTATCCCTACAAGTCTTGTTGATTGCTAGACGGAAACATAATTGACCTGATATGTTTATTGATCATATTGGCTTCAATCATCAGCTGTTCCTTTTGTGTGTTCACTTCCGAGCCTTTGTCAATCTCTATCATATGGAAGTGAGTAGTAATGTGATTCTAGTTCTTTGCTTCTGTCAAATCTGAGGCATTTCTCTCTTCTCGGGAGGGCTGTTATGTTGACATCTATGTGCTTTGAGAAAGCTCATGAGATGCTTGGATATTAAGAAAAATTTGGCTTATTCAACAATATCTCAATTGGGTTAGGGCATATCGGTTGAAGTAGATTCTTCTTTTTGATCAATCAAAACCCCTCCCCAAACTGTACAAGCTTCTTCCAAAGCATACGGCTTTCTGGATGTAGATGATAATATCTATACAGGTGGATCTTCTATATATCGTAGAATTCTTCTATATATCGCACAATGACAGATAGTGGATTTGTTTATGTCTTTTGTTGAATCTTTTTCATAGCTCCATAGATAATTTGATAAGCCAGTGATTTTTTTCCGTGTCTGATTATGTTATTTCTGTTAGATATTAAGCCATTTGTATGCCTTCACTTAATAGTTTGAGCTTTTGCAATAGTTGGTTCATGATATGGCATCAGTGCCTATATGACAATATGGTCTAGAGTTGGATCCTTGTTAGCCTCATTCTTCTAAATAAAAAGTTGAATTTCAGCATAAGGTAGATGGGCCTTTCACTGTCAATGCTTCAAGCCAAAATGACTTTTGTGTGAGGGGCTTGTTAAATATAGAATCATTCATGTGTATTTTTTAAGTATTCATAATATTTGGTTTATGAAAACTTCATTGGTGCTTTTTATTGTTATTGTGAGCAACTAAATTTTTCTGGGTCAAAGTAATTTAAAAAAAAAATATATATTTTAAAAGTTTGAAAATTGAAAAATGAAAAAATAATTAGGTAAAACTAGAAATAACATGGGTCATTTAATTAATTTCTGATTCATTATATTCTCATTTCCCCCCTATCGTTGACGTTTTCAGTGAATAAGAGCCATAAGAGGGTTTCTTGATTACCCATACATCACACCATGACATCACCATGCCACCTACATCTTCTTTTGGCATGATCTCATTGTCTTCTTATTCCTCAGTATTTAAATCCTAAATACACCCAATTTGGCGTGATCTCATTGGTTGCTCATCTCATTGATGTGTTGATGCCACCTTCCCCTCATTTTGACAATCAATGCCTCTTCCCATAAATAGCTGAGAGGTCCAGAGGGAGGTGCTACTGTCGTTTTGGAAATAAAGAGGGTGATCATTTGGTGAAAGATTTGGCTGCTAAATTTGAGTGAATTCTAGCTGCTGTTAGTCATCCCTTGGTTCTGCATTTAGTTGTCGTACTGCTGCATTTCTGTGCACCAAAAATTCTTGATGGCTGAGTTCCACCCTTCGGCTGCTAAGCTTTTCTGATGTCTTTGATTTCTGCTTGAAGGTTAGAGTTCTTGCCATCTCATTTATTCATCATTAATGAGCATGAGATCTTGGTTGTCTTCATGTTCAGTAAAATATGGCTACGATGAATCTATGAGCTCTCTGTTGTTTTGTTTCTTGGTTAAAGATGCATGGAATCTTGCTGTCTTTCTTGCTCATACTTGTTCATAATTCTGCGTGAGTGTGGCACACTCATTTGTGTTGATTCTATGACTTATGTGCTATCTGATTTTTCTTGTTCAAGAAAGCTGACTAGGGAATACTAGGGCAGTAATCAGGAAGTGTTGTAAGCAATGTGGGATTGTTTGTAGTTGGGCTCGTCGATTAATTTTTTGGTGCTTTTATATACCTGTTTCAGCAAGGAGGTTTTAGGTACCAGTGGTGGTGGAAATGAGGTATATGGGTATGGGTATGGGTATGGGTATGGGTATGGGGTATCAATAAGGACTGGTTATCATTTATAAAGTGAGGACAAATGCTTATTTTCAGTGTTTTTGTCTCAGATTTAGTAGGAGGAAAGGCTTTGAAGAGTTGTGAACTAAGTAGCCTTGGTGTTTGATAGTTTGAGTGAAGTTTGTGTCTACAACGGAACATCAATTTTCTGGGTGCGGAAGCTGGACGATTTGTATAAGTTGATGCATTTTCCTGTTATAGATGCAGTAGGGAGGAATATAGCACATGCATGAGTATGCTGTTGGTAGGAAGAGAGTGCAGGTTAGGGGTCTATTTCTTTCATCATCAACATCAACATCAACAACACCTTTATCCCAAATTAATTGGCATCGGTGATAGATGAACCCAAATAAAAGATATAAAAGGGTTGAAAAAAGATACAAAATAAAAATAAAAATAAAAATAAAAAAGTAAAATAGTAATATATATATATATATTAGTGATAAAAGAAGGGGAAAAGAAGAAGGGGGAGATGAAGAGGAAAAATGACTAAAAAGAGACCATCTGGAATATAGGAATAACAACGGGTCTAACCTTCTACCATACTTATAACTTTTTTCCATTTCGTTCTAAGGCACACCGGCCGCCAATCTATTCAGTTTTGCTTTACTACCTTCCCCCAAGTAAGTTTCGGTCTACCACTACCTTTCTTTGTGTTGAGCTCTTGGTAACAAACTTTTGTTCTTACGGGAGCATCCATGGGCCTTCTCATTACGTGCCCAAACCACCTCAATCTATGTTCTCTCATCTTTTCAGCCACTAGTAATACTCCTACCTTTCGTTGAATATCTTCATTTCTCATCTTATCCATCCTTGAATAACCACACATTCACCTTAACATCCTCATCTCTGCTACTCCCATTTTATCCTCATGTTGCCTATGTGCTGGCCAACATTCAGCTCCATATAGCATTGCAGGCTTTACTGCTGTTCCATAGAATTTTTCTTTTAACTTAAGGGGGATTTTGCGGTCATACAAAAATCCAGATGCACTATGCCATTTCATTCTCCCTGCTTTGATTCTATGATTTACATCCTCATCAATCTCTCCACCTTTTTGCAAAATGGATCCCAGAAAGCATCTTTCTTGGGTACCTCTTGACCAAGTAGATGCACGGGATCTTGGTCTTCATCTCTTGCTAGAGAAAACTCACACTTCAAATACTCAGTCGTGCTCCGACTTAACGTGAATCCTTTAGATTCCAACGTGCTTCTCCACAATTCAAGTTTTTTATTAACACCGTCTTTGTTCTCATCAATAAGCACAATATCATCTGCAAAAAGCATACACCATGACACTTCCTCTTGAATATTTTTTGTTAGTTCATCCATAACTAAGGCAAAGAGATAAGGACTTAGAGTCGAACCTTGGTGTACACCTACCGTGATAGGAAAATAACTTGATGTTCCATTACAAGTTTTCACACATGTAGTAGCCCCATTATACATATCCTTGATTTCCTTTACATACTTTGATGGTACTTTCTTCTTCTCAAAAACCCACCATAAAACTTTCCTTGGAACTCTGTCATATGCTTTCTCAAGATCTATGAACACCATATGTAAGTCCTTCTTCTTTTCTCAAGTCTGTTTTTTTCATGCAGTGTTTTAAAATTCCGCCCGACCGCCAGGTTAACCCTGACCCCGTCTCTGACCCTCGAAACCCGGCTGGGTCTCGGTGACTCCCGGGTCAGAGTGGGTCACTGCATTTTTTTATTAAAAAAAAAAAAAATTCACATGAAACGATGTCATTTTGTGAAAAAAAAAAAATCGCTGCTAATCAAAATCCCAAACGTCTTCACCTTGGTGGTTCCTCCTCCTCTCCTCCACTCTGCCGTGGTGGTTCCTCCTCCTCTCTGTTGCGCCGCCGCCTTTCCTCCGCTGTGGTGATTCTTCTCTTCACTAATCCACTCTTTTTCATGGTTGGTTTCTCTGTTCTGAGCATGTATGATATTATTGTATTACTGAGCAATAGGATTTAAAGCTCTCTCTGACCCTGATGTATTTACTCTCATATCAAGAAGACAACCATAGATAAAAAATTATGCAAACTAAGACTTTTAAATTGTATCGCAATGATAGCGAATTGGGAAATTGACAAGGAGTATTTGAATTTGATGATATAACTTTTTATTAACTCTATTGGAATATGTGTTTTATACTTCGATATTTTGATACTTTGATTAGCTTGTGTAATATTGACGTGTAGATGTAATTAGTTGAATTATGTTAAATATATTTTGAATCTTTGATGATTTTGGTGGTTTGATTTTTTTGAATTTTTCATATAGGATATATATTTATTATTTTTTAATATATAAAAGCGGAGCAGTGGTAAAACTGTTCCTTCTTAACTGAAAGGTCATAGGTTCGAATCTAGGAAATAGCCTCTTTGTAATTATGCAAGGGTAAAGCTGCGTACAATGATTTCCTCCACCCCACACTCGCTAGTAGTAGTCGGGTTTAACGGGGAGTGATTTTTTTTAATATATAAAACTGGGTCAGCAAAGTGACCCCGTGACATCCCGGTTGAACCCGTGACCCCTGGCCTCGGCCGAGTCAATGGCCGGGCGGAGTTTTTAAACATTGCTTTCATGTGAGATTATTGGGCTTAAATAATTTGTTACAGGGGAATAAACCAGTAAGGAAGGGTACGAGACTTTGGAATAATGGAAATTGTCTTGTAACCAAAGGATACATGGTTTGTGATGAGATCCAATCAAATGAGAGGTGG